GTTTTATCCCTGAAAAAGTCATTCTCGTGTGTAAGACAGAGTAGGATCAAATTATGGTTTGGCTTCTCCCTTGCTAGGGGAAGTGGGCGCATTCTTTCTGAAACTCTTGCATTATCTGTGAGATACAGATGTAATACCTACTTCAAAAGGCTTTCATGAGAATAACTGAGATAATGTACATTATGTGTTATACCATGCTTTGCAAATTGTCCAATAAATATTAAGTACTAGTTGAAACATAAAAACCCAAAACTAAAAATAGAACTACTGTATAATCCTGCTAAGGGTGAAGGGGGTGAATGTGGCTGAAGTATTTTATACGCATGTTTAAAACAGAAACAGTGAAACCTGCTGAAGTTTTTAGCAAGGGTATGTGGATGAGATGGAGTGATAAGGGGTGAATGTGATCAAAGTATTTTATATGCATGTATGGAAATATCACAGTGAAACCCCTTTGTATGACTCATATATGCTAATAAGACATGCTATAAAGAATTGATAAAGAATAAACTCTGGGTGTAATGCAGAGCCTCCTTCAACAAAAGGTTTGCTGATTGTGTGCTGATGTGCAGCCACAGCAGATTGCTGTAAACGCTCTTCTAAACTCACTGCAGACCAAGGACCCACAATGTGTGGATCTGTCACCCCTTACCTAAAGATACAAAATACACAGGAGAAATCGCCCACATTTCTTTAAAGAGAGTTAAAGAAAATTATTAAATTTGACTAAGGTTCTGCCTAACCAGGAAAATTAAAAGTTCTCTTTTAGGTCAGTTCTATTGTAGTATCTTCCCATTCTTACGGTCTTTCTCTGTGTCATTACCAACAATTACTACCCCACAGCTCCCTTTCAGGCACTCCACTCTGATCCCCACCTCAGATCTTACCAGATCTTCCATCTGAATTGGATGCCTGCTTTTGTTTCAGTGGCTTAGGACTCTAAAGAGCTGACACCTAGTCATGAACTCAATAGCAAGAAGTAGTCAGTCATGTGAAGCATTCCAGGCAGGGAAAATTCTGGAATTTTAAAAAATTTAGCAGAAAATAAGAGTATTGGCTAAACAGGACTACTGTCAGAAGAAAGAGACCAGAAAGATAAAGCAACCTGTGCATGAGGTAAAATCAGTGAGAGGGCCAGAACTAGACAGAAATGACATTATAAGTTCTTGTTTAGTGGTTTGACTTTATAGCCTCTTATTCTTAAAATTGTATTTATTATTTGCAAATCTATAACCAAGCTTTTCATATTAAAATATTTAGGAGGCTAAAGCTGGAGCTCTGTGTTAGATCACAGGCCAGGGGTTCAATCATGCGTGCGCACACGTGCACACATGCACACGTGCACACACGCACATGTGTGTGCACACACATCTGTATGTATTTTTTTAATGTATTCTTAAGAAAAGCCATCTTTTGGGTGGGTCTACTTTGTTTATTTTTATTTTCTGGCTTCCATGTTCTCTTGGTACCCATTGTATTCCATATTATATAAAATAAACCAAAACTGGATTCTTTTACGGAAATCAAGAAGTTCCGTTTTGCTGTTAAAGTTAACTCACAGCAGGGAAACAAGGAATTCTGGAGCCAGGAGATGTCCCGTGATCCATTTCCAAGTCTGACTGTGCTGATTCTCCTGTGCTACACTGCCTTAAAAATGCATTTAAAGTGAGATCACCTGTAGCTCTGTAATATGTATTATTGAAATTTCTATTTGACATTTCCTTACAAGTTTTTCTATTAATCAATTCTAGGTGAAAACTGGGCTTTAATCATTTTAAAAGATTGAGCCAAGTGCCCAAGGAAGGCCTGTTATTCTGTAGTAAGTCAGATGGATGAGCTAGACATTATAACTTTAATAGGCCCATGGGATGCATTCCAAAGTGAACTCGAAAGTAACACAACCACAAAGACAGAACAAGGTTGTGGTCTCCAGCTTCTCTTGGCAATTCTTTGAGTCCCTAGGCAGCATCCTCGTCCGGTTCAGTTTCCTGCTACCTCATCTGGTCCCTACCTATCTCTCTGACCTTCTCTCATACCTCTCTCCCCTCATTCATGGATTCTAGACACACAGTCACTTTTGCTATGCCTGGACAGTGCCAAGTTTATTCCTGCTTTAGGGCTTTGTGTTGACTGATCCCCTGTCTGGAATTCTCTGCTGTGCTTCACACGACTGGCTACACTTCCTGCTATTCAGGTCATGGACTAAATGTCAACTTTTTGGAGGCCTGTCTCCACCATCTAGACAAAAACAGGCATCCAATTCAGATGGTATTAAAAAAAAAATCTGTTGCATAATGAGCTAGAAATATCTGAGGTGGGTATCAGAGTGGAATGCCTGAAAAGGGCAATTGGGGGGGTTATTAATTATTAGTAACTATATAGCTAGGGCTGTAAGACTAGGCAAATACTATAATAAAATAGAGCAGTAAAAGGACCATAACATGTCCACAAAATTAATCCATCAACAGGTCTTTGGTGATGTTGATGAGTGCAATTTTGTGGCAAGAATAGGGAGAGGAGAGAAGTTAAATGCATTGAGTTGAATAAATGAAGCGTGAAATAGCAAGTGTCAATCACTTTAACATGGGAGGAACCTGAACATATGGAACCTGTGTGAAAATAAGCAGCAGAGAGGGGCAGAATGAAGGCCACAGAAAGAGAGGCAGGATGATCTCTGATGAGGCAGAGGAAGGAGGAAATCAAAGCATCACTGTTAGGACAAAAGGGTCCACTCCTTTCATGGTTCCAAGAGGGAAAGAGGTAAACTGAGTAGGGGCTCAGATAAAATACAGAAAATTAGGTGAGGTGTAATCCACAGGAGCCAGATTGTAGCTTATGAAATAGGTATGTACCTCTACTGGGAAGAAAAAGGCAGGAAGAATACTGGAGGCTTAAGTTGCACAGAGTGTGTGGGACACAGGTGCTACAGAGAATGTGACTTTTCTTTTTGGTGATATTGGGGTTTGAACTCAGGGCTTGGTGCTTGCTAGGCAGGCACCCCAGCCTCCTAAGGTGACTTTTAAATGAAAAGTATGGAGAGTCTCTGTTCTTAGGGGAGTGCCTGGCACATAGAGGGTTTCAGTAAGCATTAGCTGCTGTGCTACCACTACTGTCACTCAACCCTGTCTCAGAGGTAAAATGTCAAAGGTTTTGAGTTAGAAAAAATATTCATGACATCTGCTCCCTTGCCATTCAATATAGACAATGCTGATGAAAATGCTTTTGGAGTTTCAGGAGAGTAAAAGGTTAAAAATTCTTAGACAAGAGCAGAAATGAGCTAATGTGTCTTTCTCTTCTACCAGTCCAAATGTGGAATGTGGGCCCCAAAAGCCACCAAAGAAGAGCAGAAGTGGTCAGTGTTCTCCAAATCACTTCCTGTTGAATAACAGCTGAGAAACAGTGTAGCTGGGAGAAAGTGTGGAGTTGCTACCAGGGGTCACCCTGGCACGCAGTGCACTATTGGTAATGCACATTTGCCTTGTCCCTGTATCACCTACTTTGTTTTGACTCTCTCTGCCTGTGTCTGACACCCCTGCTTCAGCACAGGCACCCCCCTCCCCCAGCATGCTAACGCAGCCCTCTTCATACATTCAGATGAAATGAGCACAGCACCGCCATGGCTGCCCTCATACCAGAGGTGCCAACATATCACTTTTCTTCAGTGCCAGAGAGCCTCAGGTAACCGGGCAGGATTATCTATCAGGACAAAAAGCTTTCCCCAAAATCTGCTGAGTGAAAGGGGAAAATGTTTGTAGATTTGTGACTTGGAAGGTAATTTCTACATATGTGTTTTTAAAATCTGTCTGTAGTCGAAATCTCTAGCAACTTAGGTAAAATGACATTTGCTGAGGTATGACAAATGGCTTCAAATTCCTCAGTACAGAATTAATGAGAGAGAACCTAGGGTCCTTGGGGTTTTGAGCCTCCAAGACTAGAAATGCCCCTGAAGACTGGGCAGTGTGGCTGGGGCTTACATCATGAGAGCACCTGAAGGCCTAACATAGGAGCAGACTGAGTATGAAGGACTTCTGAAAAATGCCTGGGTGGACATACGAGCAAAACCAAGAGTCCCTGTGTATGAGGGACAACCACGAAGCACCATCAAAGAGGGAAGGTGAAAGAGGACACACGGCTGGAGAGCACAACACCAAGGCCACAGCACTGTGGGGTTCACAGGGACAGGCCTACTTGGATGGAACACAGAAATAGGCAGCAGGACTTCCCTGGGCTTGGTCTGGCAGAGAAGAAAGCTGTGTGGAAAGCAATGTATTCTCAAGCAGATAACCCACGAGGACAGGAAGAGTCTGTGGACATAGTAGGAAGGCAGAGAGACTACATGTTGTGAGTGATCCAGCAAGGTGGGCCTCAGCTTGGGAGTAGAAACACACAAACCCTGTGTCATGAAGAGGCAATTCTACTCTCTGGGTATAGCCTGGTTCTGAACCTCCAGCAGACAGCTGCTTGAGAAAATTCACCTCACTCAAGGATTTAGAACAAGCCAGCAGAGATACACTACCACACGGGATTCTTATACATCTGCGTGAAGAACAGTGTTCTCTTGCACTGCTTTGGGTATCACAGAGGGAAAGCCACAGCCAGCTTCCATGCAAGTTCACAGGACTGTCACTAGCAGATTAGGCAAAGGTGAAACTTCCTGTGAGCAGGTGTAACTCAGCTCTCTAGAGGGTAACCATAGCCTAGATTTCTTCCCCTTCTGCCTGTCAGCTAAGCTCCTTGTGACATGAACAACCTGCACAGCCACACATGGCAGCTCTGTGACCTCCTCAAAATGAATACCAGGCTTTCCTTCCTGTCCTAGGATTTCTGCATACACTTTTAGATACCAATAGCAAGACAGAATTATTTCAAACAGTCCCACAAACAAGACTGGGTCTCATTAAGATGCTAGTGCCATGAATCAGCCCAAAAGAGTGAGAGTGGTTTAAGAAACATAATCGCTTCCTCTAACACCCCTGCAGGGATGTCACATTGGGACTTACCGTGGTAGTTCCAGCCACATGACCCAGGACGGGGACCAGTCACCAGATGGGGCCATGTTGTGATTGGAGTCCAGGGCTGCTGGGCTGTTGCACTCTTCCTGGGGCTCATGCTCTCTGACTTCCAAAACTTTGAGTACCACAGAAGAGGATGTGCTCTTTAGTAAGGCCACTGCCTCACTCCTGCTGACCTCTGTGAGCTCAATCCCATTCACATTCAATAAAATGTCACCTGATAACCAGAGAAGCAGAAGAATCCTTAGTGGGTACAAACAGGGACTTCTGCTTTCCTTGCAAAGGACAGGGCCCGAATGGGTACAGGGATGTGTGGTAAGAGGTATTGGTTACTGCTTCATCAAAGAAAATCTACTTTTCCACTCTTTTTGTTTCCTGTTTTTAGCACAAAGTGGGAGTACTTGCCACTTGCACAACACTTAGCATAAACCAAGCTCCCAAAAAACATGGGCAGAAGAATGAATAAGAAACAACCCATGAGAGGAGCCCAGGGCAGTTAAGAAAATGGGCCTGGACCAATGTGCCGAGAGAGGTGGAAGGCAGAGGTGACGTCTGGATTCACTGCACTGCTGGGCTGTGCACAAACAGCACACATTAAGCATGCACTGTGTGCAAGGCTGTCTCCTCTCATCATATGCCATAGCCATCTAGCTCAGTTTTCTTGTTAAGTCACTTGTTGTTAGCCCTTATCAACCTCCATCTGGGTGCTTGTAGAAAAGCAAAAGAAATTCAGATGTGTACCTCTCCTGTCCTCACTGTTTTTCCTTTATCTCCCTCCTGATTTTCTGCCTCCCTTGCACACCATCTTTTTCATGCAGAATAAACGTAGCAAGAGTAAAAAGAGAGGAGGAAGAAAGTGGGAAAGGTCTTGAGTCCTGCTGACCCCAAAAGAAGCACTATTGTGTTATCTAAATCTCTTATCACACCACCTCCTGGGGCTCATGAGGCTGAGTCACTGTGCGGCAGAAACTTCCAGTTTGTCTCTTGAATATGAACCCTTAAAAGGCAGAATCACTCACCCCTTCGTGCAAACTGACAATATTATTAAGGATACATATTGACAGAGGTAAATTTGATATCACCTTTCTTCATTTATAGTAGCCCCAGAACTTGTGTTATTAAAGGAGGGAAAAGAGAATGATGGAAGAGGTGAATTCAAGTATGATACAATTGACAATATTGTAAGAACTTTTGTAAATGCCACAATGTACCCTTACCCAGCACAATAATTTAAAAAAAATTCTAAAAGGGATTAAAAAAATAAAGGAAGAAAAAGCTTTTCACCAGTTGGAAAGTACCTGGCATGGTACTCAGTAAGTACCACTGAGTCACGCTCTATCACATAATTTCTCCTCCCTAATCCGCAAGATGGAACAATTCATTTCTGACTGCACTGACATTGTAGTGCTATGAAGCTCTATGTGAATATATGAAAATCGTAACACTCTACAGTCTGTATTGCACATGCTGGTTTCATGTTTTACTTCTGCCTTAATGTTTGGATACTTTTAATGCATTCGTTCACTGACTGAAGTGTTAATTTGATGGGAACTCTGCTTTTAACATAATCACTTACTGGGTTCTAATAAGCTAAAAATTAAACTTGACTGTAACTGGAACAATTCATGAATTGATTTAATCACTAGAGTAGTCCAGCAAAACCACTTAGAGCAAGTAGAACTAAATTATGTCAAAGAACCAACTCGCTCAGAATTAGCAGATGCTTGTTAATTCTGGGATAAATATACTAGCAGGCAAGTGAGTATACATGAGTATAGTTAGGTAACTGTACTCAAACTAGTCATTGTCACACAACAGCAGATGTCCTGGTCAGTTCACTCTCTTAGTCTCTGGAAATGGTTAACTCACACAGCAAACTGCTAATTCCTCTCAATACTCCGCCACTCCTGTGCCTTAATTCTCGCACTTTTTACCTGTTTTTATTCTTCCATCTCTGCTTATGACTCCTCCAGGCTCAACGCTGATGACGTAGACAGGCAAGTCCCATTCCCTGTGTGATGCTCCCCCTGCAACGGTCATGCCGAGAGACTCGCTGGGGTCCTTTTGGACACTAACCACCTTCTCATGACAGGTGGCTGCAGGGTGGAGGGGCTGGAGGCACAGACAAAACACACGATACATGTATTCAAAATGGGTTTTCACATGCATTTTTGTAAAAAAAAGTTGCATAAATTATGCAAAGTGCATCAATGTAACCAAAGTAATGGTGGTCACAAAGGACACATGAAAAGAACTGTCATTTTGCACCTGCCCATAACAAGGTAACATTATTTCAAATTCTGTAAGCTGACTCAAAGAAAGTTTACATTTTATTTTTATTTATTTATATATGGGACTGGGTTTGAACTTAGGACTTCTCGTTTGCAAAGCAGGCACTCTACCATTTGAGCCACATCTCCAGTCCATTTTGCTCTGGTTATTTTGGAGATGGGGGCCTCCTGAACTATTTGCCTGGGTTGGCTCTGAACCAGTCCTCCTAATCTCAGCCTTCCAAATAGCTAGGATTACAGGTGTGAGCCACAGGCGCCCAGTGAAAGTTTACGTTTTAAAAGGGAATAGTGAAAACGGAGGACAGAGTGGGTTGGAGGCCCTGGAAAAGATGTAAAGCCTACAAAGCGAACTATAACCAAGTCTGCTGGGTGAGTCAGCCATTCCTGATAGTGGTGAGGCAACACTTCCAAACATGAGAAAGCTTTTCTAAGTTTAAAAAAAGTGACCTTATTTTATACAGTCTTCTTTCACAGCCCTGCCTGCGCTGAGAAGGCAGGTACTTAAGTGAACACCAAAGTACTCAACACAGTGACTGCCACAGCACAAATAACACTCATCTCCTGGGTCCCCAATGGCCATTTGTTTTTCCCACAGAGGCAGAGATCCACGGTAGAGATGGAAAAACCCAAGTCTTTCTGTAAATTCCTCGCACCCAGAGTTGCCCAACCTGCGTTAGGGAGGAGGAAAGTATGACAGAGATAATCTTTTCTGTCTTTTCTCCCTACTCCCTACACTGGAGACCTTAAAATGTTCCCTAACACTTTAAAACAACTTATGATGAAATAACTCAAGCTGATTAAAAAAAAAAATCGTGAGCAACCAAGTATTTATCACTCAAGCTATATAAATATTTGCTTTGGATTTTAAAATGTAAACATTTTAGACATCTAAAAAAGTGTAAAGAATAACATCATGATTTAACTCATGCACCTTACAACTCAACATCAGAAATAAACACCCCACATATGGTTAACGTGCCTGTCCGGCCACATTCCCTCTCCTCTTCCGTAGGTAACCATGCGTCTAAATACAGTGCCTACTGTCCTTAGCTTTTCTATCAGCTCGAAGCTTTTCTCTCCTGCAAATCTTGGGTTGCCTTTCTTGGTATTTCTTTGAATCATTTAAGCTCCTATTTTCAAAATGCCACGTTTTCTAAATCAAAACTTGAGTCAGAACATAAAAATCTAGACCATCAAATAGCCATGCATGTCTTAGCTTCATTTTAAGTATGCCAGTTTATTGTGAGGGCATTTTAGAAAGCAGACCAGCCTATAAATGGGAAGCATTATAGCTTCCCAGTGGGTCAATGTGTAAGAACGTCCCCAGGAATTCAGACACATGACAGAGGGTTGCACCAAAGAGATTCTGTTGGGTCTGAGTGGTCTGGCTTTCCTGTGACTCATGGTGGGTTAGGAATTATAAACCCACCGTGTGGTGTAGGCCTTGTTTTTAGAATAAAACATAGTACACAGTATAAATAAAGCATAAAATTTAGCATAGAAATATAGCATATTTACTTAATTCAACTAAAATTAGTTATTTGATAAAAACTTTAATTAAGCTAATACAGCAGTTTTCCATTAATAAATACTGCCATTTAAGTTAAACAGGCTAATGGTATTTATTAGCATGTGGAACCAGGGAGTCCTTATCTATCTCTTAGCAGGATGTACTTGGTCTGTCTAGATTGCTTCTTATAAATAAACATGGAATTTATGGATTTATGGAGGCGAGGCTGTCTGGAGGTGGGGTTAAGGGTGGAATGTTGGCTGAGTATAATATAAAGCAGAGATGTTCTGAAATCTAAATTCTGAGTATAATTTCTGCATACACTGCTCAAAAAGTCAACTTGTGGCCTCATGTAGAAGGAAAGGGCATTCTTTCCTTCTTCTCTGTAGCAAAAATAGACTACCTACAGGGGTTTTTGTTAACTTTTTAAAAATTAATTTCTTTTTGGTGGTACAGGTGTTTGAACTCAGGGTCTCATGCTTGCTAGGCGGGTGCTCTACCACTTGAGCCACTCTGTCAGATATGTTTACTTGTTTTTGTTACAAATAATGAAATCAGATCCTGGAGGAAATGACTAACAGACTGCCAAGCCAAGGCAATAGGGTGGTTAATCTGCATTAAACAAATTAAGTGTTGCTTAGACACCCATCCAAATGGGGAGATTAAGACACTGCCTTTGGCAGACGTCACAGACAGTACAGATTGGGCCAAGTCACCTCACTTGAAGAGAGTCACAAACTGCTGGTCTGAAGGGTGAATTCCACCCACAAATGCATTCTGCTGGGTCCAAAGTGTTTTAAAACTTTTCTGAATTTGAAGGCCATAGACAGGACATGTGCTCTCTGGCATGTCCCAGGCCCACCAGTGTCCAAATTCTCTTCCTGGGCCCTTCTGCAAACACAAACATTAAAAATAGCAGGGGAATCATAATTTTCAGTGTGACTGGGAAACTTAAAACCCAGAAACCGAGTAAACCTCTTGTTCCATTTCAAAGTGAACAGAGAACAGTCCATATACAAAGAGACTCTTGGTAGAAACATGACATATTTTTGGCTTAGACTAGAAATTAGGTCCCTAGATGGGATCTGCAAGGTCAGGTTTCAGAATTCTCCCAACACTTTCCTCCCTCCTGTGTGGATGGGAGACACCTGCCATCTCACCAAGTCTGAGGACAGGATTTGGCCTTTTCATTTTACAAGTGGTGTTTCTTGAAGTGACCAAGTCCAGAGATGACACTTAGAAATGTTAAAGTACTCAGCCTCCCCAAGAAACAGCTTCCTGAAGGAGCTGCAGACATGTCCTGGCTAGGACTCACCTTGGGAATGTTGTTTCTCTCCCCCTGGCCTGGGGACCAGCTACCGTGGCTGATCCAGCCCGCTTCCTGAAAGATGTCGGGGCTCTGCTGTCGAACTTGGCGGGATACAATGAGGTGGACACGCCTTTCACTGGCCTGGGCAAGAAGACACAGATGATACAGGTGTTAGCCACATGTAGAGCTGCTAAGCACAATACTCACCAGGGTGGGACTTTGGTTATGCTTTTTTTGTGTGGTGCTAGGGATCAAACCCATGGCCTCATGCACGTTAGGCAGGTGCTATTCCATTGAGCTATATCTCCAGCCCATCTAATAGTTCTTATGTCAGTGTCCACCTTGTAATTTGGCACGAGCATAAAAATTATTCCCTTTAATTTTAAACCAGGTGCATTGCTCTAAGGGAAAACCTAGGGAAGGTTTGGTTCATTCACATCTTTGAGGAGACATTTTGAGATGCTAATATACTTTTAATGAATGAGCAATGCCGGAAGGCCTTTCTGGATAGAAAGGAGGAGCAGAGGAAAGGTCTGAGGTCAAAGGTGAATAATACAGAAAGAAAAGGGATCAGTGGACTGCAGGAATGGAAATCCTGTGTCTGACATCGTAAAGATTAGGCATTGGCTCACCTTGGTCCTTTATTTTTTATGTGACTATCACTAAATCTCATACTGTGTACACTGATACTCAGAGCATTCAGAAGAGCAAGTGTATTGCTTATTGGAAAGGCCCATTCTACACAGTAAATTGATAACTGGCTTTCTGCCACAGATCAAGTTCATGTATGTCTGATAGAGAGCACCATCATTGTAGACTTGCTGACTGCTGAGGTTTCTGACCTGCAGGGCAGACAGACTAGGCCTGAGACCTACGAATCTTACAGAATAGGACTCCCTAGTAGCCCAGCTGAAGTGGCCAGCTGACCTTCCCTATCACTTTAAGTAAAAGTGGAAGGTCGTCTGGGTTTGGGGACCAAGAAGATGGAGAAAGGAGAACTGAGTCTGGTGGCTTCTCTCTTCATCCCAGCCCCTGACCGTTCACTATCCCAGCAGAGATCTGAGCTGATCTGCCCACCTACTCCCTTTACAGGTATGATTTTGGGGCCATGGAGAAAGTCAAAAGGAAGGCATGGAAGTCCCTGCTCTTCACTGGTTCAATGGAAGTTGCTTTCTCCTGCCGTGGCCTGGATGTTTGTGTCCTTCCCCATATTTGTATGTTGAAATCCTCACCCCCAAGGTGATGGTATTGACATGTGCAGCCTTTGGGAGGTGAGTAGGTCATCAGGGATGAGCCCTCCTGAATGGAATTAGTGCCTTTATAAAAGAGGCCTAAGGGAGTTGGCCCCTTCCAGCACCTAAGGACACAGTAAGAGGACAGCAGATGTAAGAAAGGGGCCATTTGCAGACACTGAATCTGTCAGCATCTTGGTCTTTGGGGCGATACCAAACACATTTTTGTTATCTATAAGCCATCCAGCTTAGTGTACTTTTTCATAGTGGCCCAAATTGACTAAGACACTGCCTCTCTTGTCTTCCTTCCCAAATTACATAGCTTCATCTCAGGAACTGGGCCCTTGTTTTGAAAAGCATAAGCAATAACAACCCAATGAACCCATGAAATCAGATCCCCACAGCTGTCCATCACTGAGTAGCCCAAACCTTCATGGTTTTGCATTCTTGTATTAATAGACATCTCTGCTCCAGGTTCTCTCGAAACTCAGGGGTCAATTGGGTGATGGTAAATCAGATGAACTTTAAGACAAACTGCTAAGGTACAGGAAGAATCTTTGATTGTAAATCTCATAATGGATGGTGGACTAGGTGAATTAATTCATTTCATATAAATTTGGAAAGTCCTACTGGACAGGGCCCCAAAAGGAAACTTGAGACCTTAGCCTTCTTTCCTCCATTCCCAGCCCCATCATCACTCCTAATCTACCCAGTCATTGCTTCCATGCCCTCCTTTATTCCTAATCTTGCATTCTGGTGCTTCTCCTTGTATCTGAAACCTGTGTCTGAAGAGAATAAAAATAACAAGCCCAGGAAATCATTGTGAAGAAGGCTGCCATACAGAACTATGGCCATTAGCCAGCTACATTCAATTCTTGGAAGAGAATGTTGTAATAACTTGTCTCTTTCTTTGGACTGCAATCCTCACTTATCCTACTAAGGTTATCTTCGGGAACTCTCTGAAGCAAAAATCACCAAAAGAAAGATAAGCAGCAGCAAGCATTCAGATCAAAACTTCAATTGCTGAGCTCAGAGTTGCTCTCTTATCATTGGGGGAAAATCCAATGTTTTGAAAGCTCTCTGCAGCATGCTGATCTCTGGATTGCATATTGTATCACGTTCATCTTGGACAAGGAGTGTCTACATGATCTGGGCACTTCACAAGAACTTTGAATATTTGAGACTTACAGATTGGGTCAACTTGCCAGGCAAAATTCACACTGCCAAGGAGCAGTCTGAGAGAGCTATTTAATTCACATTTTCAAGCACAAATTTCTCACTGGGCTTTCAAATGCTGGCTCTGGGATTAAGTTGCTGGCAGGACAAACACTCCAATAAATAAGTCTGGTATCAATTTACTTGGAAATAAATTCTCTGCAAGGCTGGATCTGTGGCTCTTACCAGCCACCTTGTAAACTGCTCACAAGGAGATTCTGTTCGATGTACTTTCTTTCAGTGTTTGCAGATACAAGGTGGAAAATGGGCTGATGTGTTTGTCCTGGCTCTGGCTCTCTGGAGCGTCTGGACTCAGGGTACAGAAACAGCCCTGGCCCCAGAGTATTTTCTTTCACTGGTGTGAATGTAGTGTAAGTGCGAGAAGGGGATGTGGTGAAGGCACAGAAACACCGAAAGAAAGAATGGCTTTTGATTTCATGCCACGTGGTGTGTGCTGGGAAAGGGAGGACAGCAGACCTGTCAGTGTAGTCACTAGTAGTGGCTAAGAGGGCCAGCGACAACTACAGGCAGACAAATGATAATAGAGAGCCTGTACATTAGGGGTAAGCTTCTCACTTGGCTAAGATGGAGTAGGGTTAAAGTAAATGCATTTGTGCTGCTTTGGGGGTGCATCTGCACATACTTAAGTAAAATGGCGAGTAACTATACCTGACTCATGTGGGTTCGTTTGTTGTATTTCTTGAGTCAGCTTTGTAAACTTTCAGGTTGAGTCACCATCCTCCCCTATACCGATGGGTACTATTCTATACAAACATCTGAAAAGGGGAGACTCTAACTGGACTGTCAGGCACCAGGACTGGTAGACCACAGACATAGCTCCCTTTCTAGAACAGTCTAGGTAATGGGAGACTCATACTTACATATGTATGAGTCGGTGAGATGGGTTAAAGGTACTGGCTGCCTGGAGAGGTGTTCTGTATCTAGCGCTGCATCCATCAGCAGCACAGTTTTAATGATTTCTTTTTGAGACAGGGTCTTGCAACATAGCCCACGCTGGTCTGGGCTCCCAGGTGCTTATAAGCGTGCACCACTAGGCCTGGCTCAATGATCATTTTTTAAAAAAAACTCATTCTGCATGCCCCAAATGGCTTTTTTCTCAAAAACCTTAGAAGGAAGCAGTCTAGCTTAACTGATGCTTGATGGAGCCTTGTGGCCATGTGTCTGTCCACACTGTCTGGCTACCCCAGTTGTGCTTCCCTCCAGCAAATGTTCACGTGTCATGCTCAGTTCATTCATCTTGTGCTCACAAAGCCCCAGGGAATTGTGGAACACTGGTACACTAAATTAGAAAGTCACAGACAGGCAAGAGATGTCATACATCATCTAACCCAACATCCTGGCCATGCCATCACTCAGTTCATGTGTCAATGCTCCTGATGACAGAGAGCTCTCTGTGTCCCTAGGCAGCAAGTGCCAGTTATAGACAGCACTAATTAGAAAATTTGTCTTTACATTGAAGTTAAATTTGCCATTCTTTTACACCCTGTAGGACAGCCCAAAATCTATGTCCATGTGACAACCCTACTTGAAGATGACTTTCCTTGTCTCCCCCACTTAGTTCTTTCACTTTCCAGATCAACTATTCCTACTGCTTCCGGAATTTAATGCTTTAAAGTCATATCAAAAGTCCAGTGAGAGCTGGGTGCTGGCAGCTCACACCTGTAATCCTAGCTACTTGGGAGGATGACGGTTGGAAGGTTGTGGTCCAAGGCCACCCTGGGTTAAAAAGTTCACAAGCCCCATCTCAACCAATAGCTAGGTGCAGTTCACGCACACCTGTCAGTCCAGCTACAGTAGGAAGTATAATATAGAAGGACTGTGATCTAGGCTGGCCTGGACAAAAAGCAAGACCCTATCTCAAAAAATAACCAAAGCAAAAAAGGCCAGAAGTATGGCTTAAGTGGTAGAGCCCTTGCCTAGCAAGTGTGAGGCCATGAGTTCAAACCCCTGTGCTAAAAAACAAACAAAAAATGGTTAAACTCTGGCCTCACTTTAATAAAGTTGGGTTGAGGTGGTTGTGTAGAACTGGAGCTAGATGAAAAGTTCCAGTCTCACCAGCATCACAGGGGCTTTTTTGCTTGATTTACCAGCTGCCTGGCAGACCTCAAAGGTGGAATTCCCACTTTGCTATTTCATACAAGCAAACAATACTGTCTGTTCTGTGGGGACAAGAACCCCATGCTCCACAGATGTCTGTCTTCATCAGTACTGATGAGAGATTTTGAAGACAGCACTATAGAACACAGCACAGCAGCAAAGCCACTTCTGAAACCATGTGATGACACACAGTCCTTACATGACAATATGGACAACTGAGGCATCAGAACCGAAGGACATGGTAGAAAAGTACTGAAGTCACCAATCATTCCTGTTCACTGAGCCACACACTGCATACTACACAGCAAGGTGTGGGAACAAAGTCCTTTTTGGTTTTAGGCAGTACTAGGATTTGAACTCAGGACCTTGTGTCTGTTTGGCAAGTGCTCTACCACATAGCTATGCCCCCAGCCCAGGGAACAAAGTCCTTGACTTTATCCTTCTTCCAGTGAATGAAAGAACTTCTGGAGGGAAAAAGGTTCTTCCAACTAAGCATAAAACTGGCGGTTTCAGAACTATAAACCAGAATAAGCTAACACACGGTAAACTGGTGTTCCCTAGAAAAGGAGCTTAGTGAAAGCAGATCTGGGGTGAACTGATTTGTTCACCACTGAACCTCCAGCACCTAGCACGGTGCCTGGAACATTACAGAAGGAATTCATGAACCTCTTCTGCTCCAGAGGTGGCAGCTCCTTATGTGAACTAAACATGATCAGAATCTGGCCAACAGGAAGTTAAAGGGTCTTTGGGGGTAAAAGTGGTAAGAAGACCTTAGGATTTGACCAGGGTAGAAAAGGAGAATTAGGGCAACAATTTGGTTTATTTTTCTCACTAGTCTATACCTCCATGTCTATCCTTATGTTCCTAGAAGCAGGTATCTTTCAGGTGTTAGAAAATTAAAGATGATGGTAACACAGGTGGTGACCTACACAGGGTCATACAGATGTCAATGGCAAGATCAAAAAATGAACCAAGCCAGGCACGGGTGGCTCACGCCTGTAATTCTAGCTACTCAGAAGGCAGATATCAGGAGGATCGTGGTTTGAAGTTTGCCCGGGAAAATAGTTCACAAGATCTTATATAGAAAAAACCCTTCACATAAAGGGCTGGTGGAGTGGCTCAAGGTGTAGGCCCTGAGTTCAAGCCCCAATACTGAAAAAACAAACAAACAAACAAACAAACAAAAAAATCAAACTGAGTTTCTGAGCCCCTCGATCTGATGTCAAGAGAATTCGCCTACTCCTCTGCCTTAAACACTGCTTCTCCTCCAGCACACAGTGGTTACTCCCAGGATGAGTTCTGTTCCATGGTAAAAGAACAAGGAGGTGGAGGATATGTGCATTTGGAAAAAGGGCAGAAAAGTTTCAAGACCCCTTAACACTCTCAGTGTAGAGCTGTGCATAAGATTTGCTCTCATAAAATTCAAAGCTGAAAAGCTGTATGGTTTGCCAAGTCCCATTTTCTCAAGAAGACATAGACTTTGAGCCCTACATAACAATCATTCAGACTTTGAGAATTCAGATGAAGGAGATTTAAGAGTTGGTGCACAGTTTAGTCTATGTGCATTAAATTTACTACAGTACCATGGTAAGACAATTTATCTAAGTAGGGATTGGATTCCATACTAGCTATGCCGATCTCTGAAAAACACACAGACCTAGCAGGTCTTATTTCACTGGCAGTTCTTACTGGCTCCAGGGGACTTAAATGTTTAAATTCCCACAAAAGTTCTGCCTTTTTTTCTAGGAATGCAGCAGAACTCACAAGCTGGAATCTTGTATTTACAGTAAAGCAGGCAATGTGAGCAGTGCATTGCTTGCTTTCTGGCTAGAAATGCCCTCTCATTCTTTTTAAAAGTCTAAAGAGGCTTGTTTTTGGTTTTTTGATGAAATGACTTCTCATTAATTAATTAATTAATCTGAGGAACAAAAATCACACCTACTTCAGTGGTGATGAAAATCTCTTTTTACCACCTGAATTTTTTTCAGTTTCAGCATAAAGCCACAATTACATTCTTTATTAATTGTTTATATTTGAACTCCTAGGTAAACATGAACTCCCTGATCTAGAACTGCAGAGAGAGAAAGCATGTGAAAATAGGCAACGCTATCACAATCCATGATTCTCAAATTGACAGGTGGCTGTATGCTGACCCTCCTGGTGGGTGTGGGCTGCTGGAACTTCTTTTTTAACTTGGGTCTCAAAACACTGGTTATTATTATTACTATTATTATTATTATTATTATTTGTCCTATCATTTTAGGTTTGACATCAGACAGTTCCAGAAAGCAGTCTCTTGTTTACAGTTATTCCAATAATAGTGCTCAAAAAGCTTGAGAAATAAGCAATGGTGAAAAATGAAGTGATGCTCACTAAGCTGCTAGAAGCAAGCCGGGAGGTGTCTGTCTCCTTACAATCTTTCTTCTCTGAGGGACTTGACTTTCCATCTGTCTAACACTGAGGTCTATGAGGTTAGGGCTCAACATATGTAAAGCTGGTAAAATTTAAAACAGTTTGGGCCTCTCTGTAATAACTCTTCCCTGAGGAAATGTAGAAAAAAAGTAGAAAGTGTGGTACTGTGGAGAAAACATGGCCAAGAGGACACGCTGTCTGGGAATTTCTCTGTGAGTAAATGTGATTCATAGAGAAGACATACAGGGCAGCATAGCCAAAGACTGGGTGGAAATCTGAGTCTCAACCTTTGAAGGTATTTGGTTTAATCCCTCTAGCCTGCTGTGTATTACAAGTATCACATAAATAAAATCCACTCTTCAGAAACAGCAAGATATTGCTTAACTGAGTTTTTCCAGCATCCTATTTTTTTCCATTTCTTTTTAAACTAGCTTTGCCCTAGCCCTTTTTTTTAAAAAAATACTTTCTGCTTATAAAAGTACACTGGCTTTGTTTAGTAAGCAAAAGGATCTTTTAGGAATTCCCGCAGTTAGGCAAGATTTTTTTATGTATTAACTTTCTCAGGGAAAAACATTTTGCTCTTCTGTTATTAATCCACAAAAATAGAATAACATATGTAATGAATATTTCCAAATAACCTGAGTAAAACAGTTTTCCATTCAAAGATTGAGAAGTACAGTTGGCAGTCTCTCCAGAATGTGAGTTGCACTGGCTGACATGCAGAGGGCGCTAACAAGTGTAACTTGAAAAAAAAAATTGATAATCCCTTAAAAGTCTAGTTTTAAAAGAGGAAAAAAATATCAAGCTCCCAATGTAGTTTCTTCAGGAAGAAAAAAGGGCTATTTTTTTCAAGAGTGAGTGTTTCATGTGGTCTATTTTCTGTTCTCGCTGGCACACAGCGTAGAACCACTTGGTTCTACTTGACATTGTGCATGCACGATGCTAAGTGAGACTGACAGTGATGGCCCATGATCTGAAACACATCCTCTGCTTGAGAAAGGCTCTTATGTGGGAAGAATCTTTGCAAACACCGACCCTCACTCCAGACTCCTGGAATGGGAGGCACTCCAGGTACAAGTGGTAAGGGGATGAGCGCTCTGCTCATGCTCGGGCTTCTGACTGGGATCTCAGATCGCCCTGTGACTCACCTGAATAAGATGAGCTGCACTTTCTGGGCTACCATATCGAAGGTCATGTCCATTGATGGCCAACACACGATCATTCTCCTCTAGTTGACCATGTCTGTCAGCTATGCCACCATCCAGCACATTGAAGATGAACACCCCAGGCTCGTCCACCCTGCGCACCAGTTTTATTCCAAGCTGCTCCTCAGGGCTACTTTTGTTGAGAATCACATGGAAACTGTCATTGCGGGGTCCAGAGGTGTCCAACACCTGCCCAGTGCTCCGGCTTCGGAACTTCTGCTCACGCAGCACGGTGAGCCGAAGCACCTGGCAGGGCTGGCGCAGGAGGCGCAGGGCATAGTTGTGAGGGACATTGCTGATGTCCATTCCGTTGACCTGGGGCGGGAAGCCATCGAAGTCAACCCCACCTGCCAAGACTCTGCCTAAAAGGCCCAGGCTACCAAGTGCAAGGCCTTGAGTTCATCCCAGCACCATGAAAATTAAGAATGTAAGAGCCCAGGACACAGAATAAATAGGACACTATCACCCTAGAGACTGTTCTGTTCTCGCTCCTTAACCTCTGTCCAAATAGCTCCTTCCTCTAAAAGTACTTGCAGGTCTCAGTGAGTAGACACCATCTGTCCTCACACAGGCCCACACTCTTATGTGCAGAACCCTGACCTGGCATCTGCTGTCTGCCAAACTTATTAATAAAATAAGTAGGAAGGGAAAGGAGGACAGAAAAGTAGGAAAAGACACAAAGGAAAGGAATTTTCCCACTCTACTCAAATGATTATGTTATTAAACCTTTTTTCTTTTGGGGAGGTACTGGAGATCAAACCCAGTGCCCAACGTGCTAAGCACACGCTTTGCCACTAATCTGCAGCCCTGACCACAAGTGATTGCATTAAATGGCCATTCACTCAAAGTGAGTTGACATTTTCTTTCAGAAAATCTTCCACCCTCTTTCTCCCTGTGCCACCCGTACTGGAATTTCTAGTTCCTATAACTGTGTGTATGAACGAGAGGGGGGATGGCACGAAGGGAGAGAGAGAGAGAGTATATGAACGAGTATGTACCTCAATATATGTGTGCGTTTGTCAGTACATTGGAGTACAGGAGTGTGTGAGAGAGATTGTGCCTAAATGTGTGTGTGTGTGTGTGTGTGTGTGTGTGTGAGTGTGTATGAATGTGTACGTTGGATATCAAGGTCGTTGTCTGCAAGGTTATTTGCCCATGCTCTCAACAAAAGGGAAAAAATGCCTGCATTATTTCAAAAAAAAGTTAACGCAAAACGAAATTTCTAGGATGTTTTATTGAAAGGCTGGATCACTTTATGGTGCTACTTAAATATCCTTAAGCTCGCTTGGGCCTCACTAGTCATCTGCAGGGCTGATGCTGCATCGGACTTTCTGGTTTTAATTACTCTGGCTCCACAGGCCCAGCCTGGGGCTGCAGACCTCAGTGTTAGTCACTGCTCGGGAAGCAAACAGCTCACAGCTCTCTGGGCTTGAGCAAGGTCCCCACGCAGGGGCAACAACCTTCTTGAATTTCCACTTTGGTAAGACTTCTTGTACTTACAGCCAATTGTCAGAGGCACCTTGCGACAAACTTTAGAAAAAGCCTTCCTGAGGTACAATCATGAGTCCTCTGTTGCACCTCCACAGAAGGATGGGGGAATCCCTAGGCAAATATAGGTCTTCACCACTGTCTAACCTCAGGGGGGCATGACACCAAAGGGAGCAGGGCCTGCTATTCATCACACCTAAGCCAAGAGAGGGTCAGGCTTGTTGGCAAAAGGGTCCTGACATCCCTTTTGCCTGCAAGTTCCAGCTGAAGGCCACAGAATCTAAATGTGTCGTCAGGCAACCCTTTGGGCAGCCTGGGGTTTCTGCTAGAGTGGGGAGGAAGTCATGCAGTGTTGTGATTGCACTCCTGATGCCCAAGGTGGATGGGCCCTGCCCTGTGCTACACCTTGGACACCAGTGGGAATTTCAGCATTTCTGGGCTACCTGCTTTCAATTATTTCTCCTCTTATTCCAATTAGATTGCCAAATAAACAGTTCACACTGTGACAGGGGCTTGTCCCTTGGCAACCCAGAAGGGATGGAATGGAACTGTTATCTGAGCATCAGACAGGAAATATATGAGCAGGGAGGGAATTCTTGTCACTTTTTGGCATGCATCTGACTTCTGTCTGATAAGCAATTCTTCCTCCATCCTTTCCCTTCTTCTGAAAATTCCTCCTTAAAGTCCTTTTCCTGGCCTAAGACTGGTAAGACAGCACGCCCAAGACAATCGTTCCACACCTGTCTCCCCTGGAATGTCTCTGGGTGGTGAGAAGAGCTCAGGGATTGCTTTTCTTTTCATGGAGGGCCACTAAGCCATAGGAGATTTACTTTAGAAGGGATCCAAATGTAATCAGATAAAATACAAAATGTTCTGTTAATACGCTCTAAGTTTTTTTAGAGATATATGCGCAATTTTTATATTATTTCATATTATTTCTGCCTTAAGAAGGAGCGATCAAGGAAGCTACAAGAAAAGAAAGAGGAAACAAGGAAAGTAGGAAAGGAAAGGGAAGAGGGAAGTGGAAAAAGGCAGATGGGAGAAGGAAGAGGGGAGTGGAGGAGTCAAGAGATAAAGCAATACAGTGACAGGTAGTTATAATCAGAGAGAAAGGGGGAAGAGAGTGAGAGTGAAAGACCTATCTCAAATTATAGATCACATATGAACCTCAAATTCCAATAACTACGGAAAGTGAGTGTCCATGTTTATTTCACTTGTCTGTCTATCTATCCTTTCATCTGTTCATCCATCTATCCATCCACCCACACAATCATTTGCTCTTTGTTCTGCAGGGTTATATGTTATATACTGTATATACATATATATATATATGTACATATATATATAAATAAAATGTTTTTTACATGCCTTCATACAGCCCCACAGCCAGTCTCTACCTTAAGAATGATGTCGCCTGGCAGTAGCCGGCCATCTCTGGCAATCACTCCATCCCGATAAATATGTTGGATAATGATGTGGACCAGCGGAGTTTCACTGCCTCCCACAAGTCGAATGGAGAGGCTTTCGTTGGGATCTACTCGATTGATCTTGATGCTGGTAATTTCACCATCTGGAATCAGGTGATACAACCTTGGAAAGACTGAAATGGACAAAGATGGTATTTATTTAAGACACCTACCCAGTGGGCACTTCCAACCAGTCTTCTTGCCAAACTAAACTGTTCATTGTTCCTTGTGCGTGCCTGCCACTTTCCTCCCTTGGTACCAGGGTAAGTTTCTCTGCTGGAATGTTTTTCTCCTGGGCCTAAACCCAATTTTTCCTTCAAAGCCTGCATGAAATGATCCCCTCTAATAAAATTCTCCCCATACACCTCTTTCCCTGCTCTAACACACCATCCTTTATCCACCTTTATTTCTCATGGCATGCAACCATCTATTATTGTTACTTGTACCATTTCTTACATCCCCCACTAGACTCTGGAATCTAGAATCTAGGGACTGGCTTCACTATAAGGCAGTCAGTAGCTGTCAGTTCCTGGTGCTAACAATACTTGGGTAACTGAGTTCAATAAATGTATTATTTTGATTACATAAAGTAGGCCAGACCACAGCCTGATTTCTGGCAGTTCTGTGGTTCAGTTCATAGATCTCTGTATGCAGGAGCCTTCAGCTGATGCTAACTGAGTGAACAGGAATGACTGGATGGGCAGATGGATGAATGAATGAAAGTCTTTGTGGAATTAACTATAGGCCCATCCCTTGACTTATCTAGGGATAAAAAGTAGAACTTGCTCTTCAGCCCTCTCAGATCATTTTGGGACATTTTTTTTTCTTGAAGATCCTGCTTTTCAGACTTGGAAAATTATGAGTCCTCTCAAGCAGACCCTGCTGTGAATAAACAGAAGTCAAAAGACAGGATTCATATTCAAGATGAGGCTAAGACCAAGGTCTAGTTGGTGGCTTCTGGAGGTTTGACCCTGATCTGCCTGATACTGAATTCAGTGATGTTTCCATTCCCCTATCCTTTCCTCCTTCACCCCTACCTCCCTTCTTCCCTGTTATTTCTTGTAGTACTAGGGCTTGAACTCAGGGCCTTTTGCTTACTAGGCAAGTGTTCCACCATTGAGCCGTATCTCCAGTCTTTTTCCTCTTGAAGTTTGATTTTGTTTTTCAGATAGGGTCTTATGCTATCTTTGCCTGGGCTAGCAAACATGATCCTCCTACCTCCACCTTTGAGTAGCTGGGACCACAGGCACACACCACCACGCCCAATCCCTGAATTTTATTTTTTGACTGAAAAATCCATCTTCCCCAATGACAGCTTTCACAGCTCCCTTCTCTCTCCCACTCCACTGTGACCAGGTAGAGAGGGGCAATGGTGGCTTGCTGCTGTGCAGCTCCACAGTGACAGTCAGCCCTTTTTTACACAGGAGTTTGTTTAAGTGTAGAGAGGGGAAGTGAACTAATTAGCTGAAGGCTGCAAAGTGAGGTGGCCTCAGAGCCAAGTCAGGACCAGTTCCTGACAACCTGCAGGCTCATATAGGCCTGCATAGGCTCCCCAGAGCCAGGTGTACATGGCCAGGTTAGAGTGTACAGGGGACTTGCCCTGGGTACCCATAAGCCCACACTACCGAGTGGCATTGTTTTCACACTTAGTTGGAAATAGATGTATTCAGAGGGCAAACCAAGTGCTGGGACCAAGCCCCACGAAGTCTGGTAGGAAAATGGTGCTTCCTAGTGCCTGAGCCTCAGTTAGCATATAAAGGGCTGTGACCTTTGATTTTCTGTAGCTGCTGACAGCTACCTTTGTCCTAAGAGCCTCCTGTAAATTTGTCATCTTGAGAGATATGCCACTTCAGGTCTGGTTCTATATAGTCCATTATTTGTGAGTGTTTTCAAAACCCACCTTAGTCCATTTTTCCATTGTTTCTCCAGGAACAATACAGAAAAATGAGTTATTTGTAACTATTACTGAATATGCTTAAGAAGGAAATGTAGTGGCAAGAGGAAACCTGAGACATTGTAACCATGGGTCCTTAAACTCCATTCAGATTTAATTTAACGTAAGCAACTGGCTTTGCTAGCAGACTGCAAGTAGCTGTCTTAATCTGTCAGTTCCTGGTGCTAACTGTACGTGGGTGACTGAGTTCAATTAATGTTTAAATACTCTGATTGCATTAAGTGGGCTGGACCACAAGCATGTGCCAGAACATACTGGGTAACGGGTGAATAGGAATTTAAAAAAGTCATTTTGAACAAAGAAAGATTTGGAAATAATCATCAAAGCTGCTGATTCTCCCAGTCCCTCTCCTCCCTTCCTGTCTCCTTCCCAACAGACTTACAAAACCATACTTCCAATCCTAAACTACTTGAAGCTGTCTGCTTTCATGGTTCCAAAGGACATATCCAGTCACACTCATAAATGACGGTTAATTAGAGCCACACCAATGAGACCCTTGTGACCTTGAAGAGTCCAAGTAATTTTTAAACTGTCAAACTTGCCTTGGTGTGGAAAGTTTGAGCTCAATGTTATATCCTTGCTCAAAAACTAAAGGATTTAACAGTTATTGTTTCTCATGAATTTATTATGTTAGGCAATTGTTGAGTTAAGCAATATAAATGAATATTTTAGGTTATCCTAATAACCTTATGAAGTAGATTCTTATCTCTGCTCTCAGATGGAGCTAGAATGCCAGCAGAAAAGACAGTAAAAGCTTGGGTTGGACAATAACAGGGAGGTGAGGAAACAGACATGGCAGTATAATAAGATACAGGACTGTGATAAGCTCAGGTCAGTTAGGGTACATGGTGAGTGAGCAAGTGTAAGTACACACAGTGAGAGGTGATCATGAGTAAGAAAGAAGGGGTCTCTTATGACTGTTCATGAATTTTCTGAGGATATAATAAATATAGCAGCTGGGGCTCTACCTTCCAACTCCAAGAGTGGAGGTCAGGATAACCTGGTGGTTAAAAGAATGGCTTCTGGAGCCAAAGGACCTGAGTTCAAATCCCAGTTCTGCCATTTTTTAGCTAAGTGACTTTGTACTAGTTACCTAATCTCTTTGGATCTTGATTTCCCCACCTGTAAACTATTTCATTCCTTGTAGCATGGCTTTGACATAGCAATGACTTAGAACACTGCCTGGCACATAGGAAGAGCTCAAGTTTTTAAAATGCCATTATTATCACTACTCTAAGGTTGTAATATAAAATTAAAAGAAAGGAATAAGATAGTCAGCTCCATCTACATTGGGGAAAATATAAAAGATCCAGGATCCAGCAACTTTCTTTCCATGGATCCTGAGTTACATTACCTAGATTCAAAGGTCAGCAAGGTCATTTGGACAAATGAAGTAACCTCTCTGTGCCTCAGTTTCCTCATATGCAAATCAGGGATAATACAGCAACTACTTCATAGGGTTGTTGTGAGGGATGAATGAGGAAATTCATGTAAAACACCCAGAACCACACTTCATATGTAGTTCTAATAAGAGTAAATACCTGCATGCCATTAACTATGTGCAAGGTACTGTTTAAAATGTTTTTCACTCACTAACTATAATTATTATTCTTTTTTTGTTTGTTTGTGTGGTGTTATTGTCTTTGAGGCAAGGTTTCACAATGTAGTAACTCAGGCTGGCATGGAACTTGCGATGTAGCCCAGGCTGGCCTTGAACTCACAATCCTCCTGCCCAGCTTCCTGAGTGCTGGGATCACATGTATGTATCACCATGCCCAGCAATTACTATTCTTTATATATTACTCTTTATTATCATTCATTAAGCTGTCACCTGAAGGTAAGGGATATATATATAAGAGAATAGTAGTTTCTGCTTTTACTTATGTATAAGAGAAGGAGGCTGGTCAAGGTAGAAAATATTTTATATCCTCACGAAGGGAGGGATCATAGGAAGTAGGTGGTGTCCAGTGCATGTGGGGGAGACATTCATTTACCTTCAGGAGCAGTGTTACTTTCCGAATCTTCCCTGCCCTGGTCAGCATGGTTGGCAACTGCACTGCCACTCTTTGTCCTTCGAAGCACACTCAGAGCTCGATTAATCTTTTTAAAAGATCTGCTTCTAATAGTGGATCGCTCAAAGGGCCGTACTGAGGAAAAGAGAGACAGAGGAACATTAGTTAAGTGTTAACAGAAATCGTCTTTTAGCTGAGTGTGATGGCCCACGTCTGTAATCCCAGCACTTGGGAGGCTGAGGCAGGAGAATGGTGAATTCCAGGCCAGCCTGGGCTACACAGTGAGAACCTGTCTTAAAAAAAGAAAGGAAGGAAGGAGGGAGGCAGGGAGGAAGAAAGGGAGGAAGAGAGGGAGGCAGGAACCTTTTATGCTAAGATAGGCACTATAAAGCTCCTCCAGGTGATAGGATTATTGCATTTCCTAAATATGTATGGCTTTCTTTAAAAAAAAAAAATCTTCCTTTTCCCTCCTTGAGCTAAACTGATTGTACCAGCACTTTTCTTGGTGAGCCAGGAGAGGTCCTGACTCCACAGAAGTGATAAATCACCAGGTCTCCCTCCCGCCCCTTTCACCAAGTCAGATTACACAGTTTTAATGAGCTGAGGTACTCGTGGTTTCATTTCACTTTGGAGAATTGGACATAGGGTGGCTGCCAAAACTACCAGAACCATTTCCCCTTAAAAAAAAAAAACATTTCTAGAACTTTCCACATTGAGTATTCCACAGAGCGCAATCCCGAGGAAGGCCCAGGGCCTTTTCCCGGGCCTTGACTCACCCCTCGCTCGGTTGCTGCGGCCGGAGTCCGAGGGGCTGGCTGCTGGCCGGCCATCCTCCGCCGTGGACACGTAGGCAGGGTTGTCTAGGCCAGGCCCGTCCGTCATTAGGGAGATGGCGGCGGCCGCAGAGCCGTCTGTGGGGAGGGCCGGCGCTGTGAGGCCGGCGCAGCCGTCGGAGCAGCCATCTTGGGAACGCCTCTTCCGGTCTTTGGTCAGGCCGTAGTGCGAGGCGCCTTTGCAGCTGGAAGAGAGACGGGGAGGGGGTGCTGCCAGGCCTGCTCTGGGTTCCCAACCTTTGCACACAAGCAAAGGCACTTGCCAGCCGAATGGATTGTAGACCCGCGAGAGCAGTGTTTAAAAGACGTCTCCTGCATTCTTCTGACACAACCTGTGCCCTGGCTGCTGGGCCACAAATCTAAGAAAGTGATGGTGTCACTTGACTAGGGCTTGAAGCCTGTCATCTGAACTGTGTGGACTTGGCAGCTCCTTCTTGCTGGCGTGTATGTTGACCATGAAAGCCCTCAATCACTTTGTCCTTTCTTTCCAGTCAGCTCCCACAGCATTGAATATCAATACAAAGCTCCTCCCAGGTTCCATATTTAACTGTCCATGGGATCAGAAAGTCACCACAAAGCCGCAGTTCACTCAGCATTGCTATTCTCTAGGGGCAAGTGTGGTGGCTTGCTACCCTGCCTCTGGGCTGGTCTGACAAGGCCTCCCTTGTTCCTTAGAGGAACCATTGTCATATCCCCTAGCATCGGGACAGTAAAATAGCTTTTATGGTTTTAAACAAAGGCATAGTTTTTTCTATCCGTGCCCTGCCCCTTTCATCAAAAACAAACTTTGTAAGTTAGGCCAGTTATGTACCGTATGCTCAGAAGACTAAGGTTGGAGCTAATCTAGGTCAGTAATTTTCCATGAATACACTTCCATTGCCACTGGGAACGTCATTTCAGTTCACAGGCGAGGTTTTGTTCAGGAAACAGTGATGACTTAACTTTCTCATCACACCACTGTAGGGTAGCCAGCTTCCACAATTGTAAAAACAGAAATCGTTCCCATGAATCCCTTTAAGAAGTGGCCATTTGCATGTAACAAATGTGTTAATTGTATGTTATTCTTAGCAATTAATTACATAAAACCCTATATGATTGAGGCTTACTTACTTGTTTTTTTTGGCAGTACTGGGATTTGGATGTAGGGCCTTAGGCTTGGTAGGGAGGCATTCTACCACTTGAGCCATGCCACAGCCCCTACTTTTTTTTTTTTCTTTGATATAGGCTTTCTACATGTAGTCTAGTTTGGCCTCAAACTTGCCATCCTCCTGTGTCAGCCTCCTGAGTGCTAGGATTACAAGTACGTGATACCACAGCTGAGTATGATTGAGCTGGTTTAAATAAACCTTTGAGATCTTATTTGGATTGATGCTTCATGTTCTTAGAAAGGAAATATAACCAAACCATTAGTTCATAGTTGGTACTTACACATTATTTTTACTGCCTACAGAACCACGGAACTAACAGAATGGAAGCTCCTATGGTTTGCTTCTAAATCTTTATCCTGAAATTACCTAGCTGGGGAATCTGGGACAATTACATTAACCTGGTGAAGTTGTATAATATGTACATACTTCTTGGTATAAGGTTCAGATGACCTCAAGTTTTGTCATGAATTTAGGACTTTGCTAGTTATATAGTGAATTCTCAGTAAACTGTAGCTATTTTCATAATTCATTCATTCTAAGATGTTCATTTTTTCATCCTTTAATATGTCTGAGATCAGGACATATTTGTGACTATTGCCAAGCAGCAGACAGAACATAGGTACCATTGCCTGAGCATGGCCGACATGATCACAGGTTCATCTTGTTACTTCTACTGGGTTGAGTTCACTCTTGTCACTATACCAGAGTTTAATTGCCATTTAAATGTTTTTGAGAGGATTGTATTACGAATTAGCATTGAAATGAAAAGTTATTGTATATCTAGAAAGTCTTAAAAACAGAACAGAAAGATATAAATTAGATAACAATGAAGTAAATATTCATCTTTAAAAGAAAGTCTGCAATTCCATATTTTTTTTGCAAAGTAAGTGCTTTAAGTGCTTAGGAAGACATCCCTGAGCAGATGAAAAGCAGCATTACATTTGTCACTGAAAATGATTGCTTATTTCATACCAGCAACACAACTCAAGGCAGGAGATATTGCCAGTTAAATTTGCCTGCATGGATTTGAAAGCCAGAAGAGTCTGATGTGACCTATTCAGTCATCATGAGGACATCGTTAAAAGGGTTTTGGGATCACTTAACTGGTGGCACATTTTAATATGTCCTCTTCTTGTTAGTACATACAATATAATCAGTAGCACTTAGATGTGATGGATTATTTTTTTTAAGTCAGTACTTGTCCTATAGTCCAGGCTGGTCTTGAACTTACTGTGTAGCCCAAGCTAGCCTTGAGCTCACGATCGTCCTTCCCCAGCCTCCCAAGTGCTGGGATTGCAGGTGTGTTCTACCACTTTTGCTGAAATTTGTCTTAAACATTAGTAAAAAGGGATGGATCGTGATTATACAACCCTATACCTTTATCTTCTAGAAGAGGAAAGAGACCAGTACATGCCCCAGCTTACACTGCTAGTGCCGACTTCACTGGAAAAGTTCAAGTTCCCTGCTTGAATTGGTGAGCTTTTACTATACCAGTCAGCTACTTTTACTTGAAATTGTCCTGCTTAAAAATAGTAAAGTAATTGATACGGGGAATTCAAACATTGGAAGAAACACTTTGTGATGGAAAAAATAGAAGCCAGTGTGCATTTGAGCAGCTCCAAAGTCATAAATACATGAATGGAACACTTACATGCAAGCCAGCAATATTTGGTCAGCAATACAAGGGAAAGAAGTTCCTAGACTATTTAGTTGGTCTGGAAACAGTCTCTGTTTTTAAGGGGCATCAGTGCCCTCGACCATGTGCTCTGCCAGAGCAGGAAATTAATTTTCCAATTGGACAAACAATTGGCAAAAGCACAGTCACCGCTTTCTTGGGGGTGGGTACACAGCAGATCAGTGAGAAAATAGCATCTTATTCTGCTGCCTCAGCACCAAAGAGGGTAAACTACTTTTAAAATATCTGAATCCCCACATATACCATTAAGAAACCATTGCTGTCCGATTCCAAGGGTTCTAAAGACACATTTTTGAGTTCAGGAAAAGAAAACTTCATGAAACGGGTAAGCCTTCCATTGGCCTAGTATCCTGGCTGTCATTTCAGCAGCTGGGGAGGGTGCAGAATCTGATTGAAACATTCAGACTCACAAGCTTTGTTTGAAAATAATTTCGACTACAGCGACTCATTCTTATGTAATGTTAGCTTTTTCCAGCCTTTTGGCTTAGCTGAGGCACAGAGTGATGGATGAAGCTAGTGGCTGTACTTACTAATTATCCCTTTTGCAGTGACTAATACTGGAGCCTCTTGATTTACAAGCACAAAAGAGGGAAGGACAGGGAAGAGCTGATTAGCGTTGGCCAGTGCAGGACATACGATGATCCCTGGGCTGTGTTCAAAGCAAGCAGGATTTATGCTCCCTTTCAGTTACCCTGAGCACTGAGTATTCTCAGGTGGTGATGGCCATAAACTTGAAGGATGGACACGAGGAACATAGAAAACCATTTTTCAACCAAACCACAAACTTTGGATGTGCCATCTGTTCAAACAAGCAATTCTGAAAATCAGTTTTCCTGGTACTAGTGAAATGGTGTCCTGAGCTCCTTTATCAAAGTAAGTAGAGACAAGTCAGTCTATATATAACAATGTTACACACAAAAAGTAATAGACTTTTTGTCTCTTTTGCAGGGAGGAAACATGAGAAGAGAAAATGATCCTCTGTTCCTACAAAATTCCTGAGTCTGTGATGGAGCTGCTAATGGAAGCTGGAGATGAGGCCTACGTTGGAGCCCAAACATAATTCACACAGGTTATGGGGTGACCTCTCTGCCAACAGAACAGCATGAGCTGGTATATAGGGGACGGCCTCCTACTGTCAGTGACCTTACCTACCATCCACAAGAAAGTGAGCCTCCATACCCTCATTCTCATTGAACAACTACCTAACCTCCCTTTGACTAATCCCTCACAGCCTCTCTCTCCCAGTTCACCTCCATAGCAGGTAAACATGGAGTCACCTCCTCTGAGATCATTAATTACCCAGTCTGATCTTATTTTAAAGCAGTGCTCCAAACTCACAGGCGGTCAGGTGAGGAAACAAGGGGGTTAAGGCTGCATGGGTGTGCACCATGGTGAGCAGCATTGCACAGTAAGTACTGAGTGGTCACTACAGGGTCTCTCTGATTGTTGCCTGAAGAAGGCCAGTTCAGGGTGGCTGGAACAAGCATTTTCATGTCCAAATCCAGTTTTTTAATGTGAAATCGCTTGAATTTTAAATGTTGGCAATATTTAAAACCACTGTGTGGTCCAAATAAAACAGCTGCAGGACAGCTCTATAGCAAGGGATGGCACATCACAATCTGTGGTAATAAGAAAATTGCCAGTGTGGGCAGGCTGGGCCCACTTTTCTCTTTTCAGTCCCCTAGAAAGCAGTATTACCCACTGGCCCAACCTCCCTCTGTCCTCACCTATGTGAGGTGCACGCATAGGTAATATGGCCCCAAAACGGCTTCACTTTCACAATTTGCAGCCCTGTTTCTGATCCAACTTGGAGAATAAGTTGTAGAATAAGACTGAATTTTCAACCATTCTTTCACTCACAGGAGAGTGAATAACTTGCCCAAAGCTAGTATTTAACAGGAAAAGGAGATATTCAGCCTTTATGGATGTATGAATTCTTTCTTTTGGTCAAAGGGAATCAAGATTAAGACTCACTGGAGAGGACTGTTTCTTGCTAGCAGCTGGTCATCCACTGCACAGGATGAGTGATCCTGAGACTATGCCCAAGCAGGGTGCCTGGGGTCCTTGTGCAGACAGTGTTACAAGGAAGGACATGTCATGGTGAGATAGCAGCAGGCTGTCCTTTGTGTCCTTGGGAAGGCAACTGAGAAATTGGCCATGGAAGCCTTAGGAATTCACAAAGTCTCTGTCAGGGTATTAGTGACCCCAGGGACTGAGGGTAGGCATTGGTTACGTGTGCTTAGCCCCCAGCTCCTTCTCCAGGGTCACCACCCTCGCCCTGGTCCTCCTGATACCACATTTCCATGACTTTGTGACACACATTGCTCATGTCCCTGTCCCC